TCTGATGATTACTGATCATGTTTACCTTACCTATAATTTCTCCCCCACCCCAATAAAGATATACTCTATCCCAATAATTCTATTTATTTATTTTTTACTTTTGAGGGGAATCACCAGATATAAAAAAAAATTATATTTTTTATAAAAACACTTAATCTTCTCCTCCTCTTTCTTTTTTTCTTTATCAATCTTTCTGTGCCTGCCATTACTTTCAAGATGCCAGATATTTAATTGGAAGCAATCCAAACCTTTTTGCTTTGGGAAATTAACAAAACTGGATGTTTCCTTTTCCCTGTCTCCTTTAATCCCCAACTATAAATCGAATCATCTCATTCTCTGTTTTTTGTATTGGGCCTGCCTCTGTCTGTCTTTCTTCTCCTACCCACTCATCCCGGGTCCTCCCCCTGTTGGTGGTGGGCCCTGGGTGTAGCTAGAGTTGTTCCATCTCTTTGGAATCTCTTTCTCCCCAATACAGCAGTTGAGTCACTGTCTTGTTTCAGTTCCTGCCTAAACACAGTCCTGTGTACTCTTGCAAGGGTTGCAATGAATCAGCATCCCCTTCTTTCATGTATGACTTAATGAGAGACATTTAAAGAATCTGTATACTTTTAACATTTTAAGTTTTATTTATTCCATGGTTCAGTGTTATATTCTCTTTGAGAAAACAATCTTTATTCAAACTCAGAATATTTTATCCATTGTATAATGAGAATAAAATAAAATGATATATATTTGTTTATTGATTAAACTTTCAAAATTGAAGGTTTTCACACCATAATGGAATAATAATTTTGTGTTATAACATGGATGTTCATGAAGTAATTCTAACGATCCTTGAATAGCTTCACCTTCTGAGGGATGGTGCTAAAGCAGATAAAATCATAGGAAGGGTCAAAGAGTCATTTTCATGCACCCAGTTTTCTAAGAATCACTTTCACTGTACTGGTTAATCAGGGTCAGGAGTATCTCTATTTGTGTGGGTTCCCTCCCCCCCCCCATATAGTTTGCATAGTCCTGTAGGAGGAGGCTCAGACTGGAGTGAGCATTGCTGGAGCTGTTGATGAGCGAGGAAGTAAGACAAAAGAAGTGGTTAGGAGTGCATCTGACACAGTCTTATTATAGACAGAGCAACAGAGGTACTTGAGATTGGCTCTAGTGCCTACTAATTTATATTTCCTAAATCAGTATATATATTGAACATAGAATTCTAGACCTGACAGACACCATACAGTCATCTGCTTTATATTCTAGGCATTCCTGAGAGGTGTTCGCCAAGTCTGTGCTTTGAGTGAAGATGTCAGTGTCTTCCATGGTTGAGGGGCGTTAAAAGTTGAAATGGTTCCCTGCTTAATGAATTGGATCCTCTCTTCCTGTGACTTGCAGCCGAGAGTCCTACTGATAGCTTCTCCATGTAACTAGCTTTAAGCAACATGTCTGAACGCTGCCCTCATGGCTACAGGCAGTGTTTATTATTTCTACTTCCTTTAAGTGAAACCCACAAGGCATGTTTGCCAGAACCTTCATGGTTCCCCTTGCACTGCTCTACAGGGTCATGCATTTGCAGAATCCTAGCATGAGCCTGTGGTGTCATAGTGTCCCCCAATCTGCAGCACGGAGTCGTGTGAATTTGAGGGGGGAGGGAGGGGACAGCTATAGCGCATTGCCCATTTGACAGGATAGAATTTCCTTTCTGACTTGAAATAGCTGAACACTGGGTTGTAAGTGTAGCACGCTTCTCCTGGATTGCTTACGCCCAAGGTATGCCATGAAATGAGAGACTGGCTTTCTTTGAAAATGTGGTGGATGATTCACATAGGAGAAATTCCACTTGTGCTTTTCACTTGTAAAACTCACCTCAGTCTGGGCAGAAAAACGTAGTTAGGCAGAACCAGCCTGTGCCCATGGAATTATGTCTCACGGAGAAGCAGAACCCTCCCGTCTCAGAGGACATTCTGGATTCCAGCATCCTCTTCTCTGTGGTCTCTCCCATGTGGCCTTTCGGCATGGAGGCGAGAAGATCCTTCCTCTGCCTTCTTTTCCTCTAACCATTTCCCACATCCAGGGTGTTGGGGAGTCTCCTGCGAGCGCCCTAAGGATGGCCACAAAGATCTCTTGGGTGGAGTTTCTGGCCACACGTCGAAAGCTCCTCACAGCTCAAACACTACGGGGGTATACGCCTAGGACTCAGTGCCCTACTGTGAACCTGCCTTTGTCCCTGGCGGCCTGTTCTCATGCGGAGCAGACCCAGGTTGGGGAAGAACACACAGTGTCTGGTACCACCTACATGGCCGTTTATTTCATCGCTTTGGAAGGCTCCTGCGGCTCTTGGCTGTGGACCTGCAAAAACAAAGCCGTGGGACAAAGCGGCCCGAGGCCTGTAACAAAAACCTGGTACCTTTTGTGAGGCCCGGTAGAGAAAAATGATTTATTTCCGCCGTACCAAATCAAACATGCTAGGAATCCCAGGTGAAAATGGGGTTTTTAACAACTACTAAATGTTCAAGGATATAAAATCAGCAGTCGTTGAGAGTTTTGCTTGATGAAGAGAAGAACCCGAAGAGCCTGATACAGGAATGATCAACATGGGATGTGCCCTGATGTCTCACAGAGGTCTGGTGTGTGAAACTGGACAGACAGCAGATCACAACAGTGGAGACCGCTGTGTCCTTTAAAGTATTTCTTTTCCGTTACTTCTTTAAAGTATTTCTTTTATATTCAGCATTCTGTTGTATTAGTCTCAGGTGCACAACTTGGTGGTTAGACAGTCATATACTTCACAAAGTGTTCCCCTGAGATGTCCTGTACCCACCCAGCACCATACATAGTTATTACAGTATATTGACTATATTCTCTCTGCTCTAGCTCTATGGTCGGGAAACTGTGGCTCGTGAGCCACATGCAGCTCTTTCGCCCCTTGAGTGTGGCTCTTCCACAAAATACCATGGCCTGGGCGAGTCTATTTTGAAGAAGTGGCGTTAGAAGAAGTTTTAAGTTTAAAAAATTTGGCTCTCCAAAGAAATGTCAGTCTTGTATTGTTGATATTTGTCTCTGTTGACTATACCCCTGTGACTGTTCTGTAACTACCAGCTTGTACTTCTCAATCCCTTCACCTTTCCTTTATATGACCAGTGACCATAGTGTTGCTAGTCTTGTGCCTGGAGCGTCCCTGCCTCTTTCTTCTTCCTTGCCTTACATTTCACATTGCAGCCTCTGAGAGTAAACTTGAGGAGTCTGGGTACTACTGGAATCAGCCAGTCTGTGCTTTTCTTCTCTCAGGTTCATTAAAAAAACCATAAACACGCACACAACTTAATGACTTCAAAGCTATGATGTAACTAAAAACTCATGTACTGTGCAGGGTCACCTCTGGCTTTGTTTTTCAATTTGGTCACTTGGTGCCTCAGTCACAATGCTGCATGCCCGGACCATGGGAAAGAAGACTGTCCCTGGAGGCAGCCAGGTGACCGTGTCTATGCCCTGCTGCCCGACTTTCTGCCAGTGTCCCGCTCACTGGCCTCTGTGCACAGGCTGATTTCCATTGCTTTTCACAGAGCCACTGCTCGCCTGGGTTGGGGGCAACTGGTCCCTCCCTCTGTCCCTCCCTCGAGAATTTTTTGAGCGTTTGCGATGTGCACTGTGCACTGGAATATAAAGGTAAATAAGACACGTCTACATTCTAGTGAAATGCATTGCAGAAGCTGTGGAACTGAGAAACTTGCTGGAGGAAAGAGGAGGGAGGAGCTTGCTAAAACTGAGGAGACACGAAGCTTCCTGTGATGTTTCCTCAGAATTGGGGCTCATGAGATAAGCAAGTTTCTCCGGGCAAAGGAAAAAGGGAGACCCATCAGAGAGAGAAGGAACAGCTTTTGGAAAGACAGTTTAGAGAACTGTAGTCTTTTGGGGTGCCTGAGGATGGGTGTCGGGAGGTGAGGGGGGCAGAGAGGAGGTCATAACAGCTGCGTTAGGCAGACCTAGGAAGGACCTCTGTGTCATGCCAGGGCGTTTGCAGCCTTCAGACAGTAGGAGTCACTGCTGGTGTTTCACCCGTGGAGGAATGTGGTCAGATTTGTCTTTGGAAAGATGACTCTTGAAACCACTAGAGGATTTTGTGGAGGTTGAGGCTGATGAAGGCCACGGACGGACCCCTGAGATGTGGGGTGTGGGTTAGCTTGCACATAGGGGTGGAGTGGCCCTCCCTGCCTAGCTGCCCTCAGGATGGGCACACAGAGCCGGGTCAGCTCTCCGAGACCCTTCCCAGCCTCATGGGGTTGGTCTCTCTGCAGACCCCTGCCTCTCAGCCTCTTCTCACCTCTTGTGGTTGACCAAGGCCATGAGATGGATCTCTACATTGGGCAGCTCCAGTTGGCCAGTGGCCCCGAACCCTGCTCTTCTGCCTCCTGTCCCAAACCTGCCAGTGTCTGCCTAGCTTGGCTGACCTCCTAGGTCATTCCGTTTGGCTGGCACCTTTGCCATGCCAGAGCTGTGTGAGCTGATCTGGCTCAGCCAGTGAGCATTTCGTGTATTGTCCTCTCTGTTCTTTCCCTGCCCGGGCCACAGGGTCACAGGGAGACACACAGCCCCTTGTAGATGGGATCACATGCTCAAGGTTTACACACCTGCCCTTAGAGTGCTATTTCCTGATGATCCACTGATAGTTGAAACTAAAACTTTAAAGGTTTATATTGATCTTTTACATTTTCAGGTTCTATTAAGAGAAAAGGGGGCTCAGAATCCTAAGTTTTATCCAGCCCTCTGAACAGTGACAGATTCTCGTAAGACTAGCAATGCCAGGAAGCTCTAGATAGAAAATATGCCTGTTCACTTCCGTGTGGTCTAGATTCCTTCATGGTGTTCTGTTTGGAAGTTTTAGAGGTGTTTCCCCCTCTCTAATTCCGTTGATAACAACGTGACTGTTGTATAATGTGGCTGAAGCTCAGCCGTGCTCTGGAGCGGGTGTCCTGCACTCAACTAACCTGCGTGTTTCCCACCCCTCATTGCAGTGTGGCAAAGCGCTCCCCGGCCTCTCTAAGCAGGAGGACTGCTGTGGAACCGTGGGGACCTCCTGGGGCTTCCACAAATGCCAGAAATGCCCCAAGAAGCCATGTAAGTGACATGTCACCTTTCCTTTGCAGGTTAATGTAGCACATCTGTTTCCTTACGATCACTGTTTTAATGGTGGGACATTTGATTTTCAAAGAACTCTTGTTGAATTGCAGAACATCGTGCAAAAATTTGCACTTCCAGAAACCTTATAGATCTGAGAAAATTTTTATATCCATTCTGTTTTTTTAAAAATATATTTTTATTGACTTCAGAGAGGAAGGAAGAGGGAGCAATAGATAGGAACATAAATGCACGCCCCCTATTGGCGATTAAGTCACAATACAGGCATGTGCTCTGACAGGGAATTAAACCACAACCTCCTGGTTCACAGGTGGATGTTCAGCCATCTGAACCACAACTTTCTGGCCCCATTCTGTTTTTGGTTTTTGTTTTTTTTAATAAGTACAATTATGAGTTGCCTTCTTCAGTCAGATTACATATTTTTTTTAAAAAGCCTTTTAAGGGATAATATGCTAAAATAAAACAGTCTCTATTTTCTCAGGTGAAGAGAAAACAGGATAGTTTTTAAGATGTGGAGGTTGTGGCTGATGTTTCAAATCCTATAAAAAGTCAGGGCAGTTGTGATTTCTAAGGTTAAATTTCTTAAATGAAATTTTTATTAACAGCCACAACTTCTGTTGTAGTTTTTGTTATACCATAACTTTTCAAAACTCACTTAAGCTCAGATGAAGAGATGATTGTTGCTGATTTGTAAAAAATGAATTTATAGTAACTGGGCCCCAGTACCCTCCCCTTTTCTTATTCATGCTTCTATACTATCGCAGTTTTAGGTCACATGGTATTAACACTCATGCTTTGATTATTTTATAAAATCTGTTCTTTAGAACCTATTGATTGGAATAAGTCCAAAACCACATCTTTCTGTTACCTTTTTCGTTTTTTAGTTTGCGTATGTAGCATTAATTCTGGAAAACTGATTGCTAATACTTTTTTTTTTTTTTGAAAAACAAAGGTAACTTGTTTCAGGGGAGTGTTTTTCCACTTATTCATCACGTTTTTGCCAAGGAAGGGAGTGATACTTTCCTCAGTCATCTTTTTTTGCTTTGTATAACTGAAGTTTTATAGGATTTTTAAAAAAAAATGTTTTACACTGCAAGGAATTTCTCATTTGCTTCAATTGAGTGATTTTTATTTGATTTGGTTGATATTCTCAAATGCTTTCAAACCTCTCTGTTAAGTCTAGAATCTGCCACCTTGAAATCACTGTGGCTCCTTATGTCTGTCTTTTAAACTATTCTCCCATCATAGTAATTTGTTTTAAATAATTGTCTCTCATTTAGACTTCCTTATCTCTCAAACTTGTGTGTTTTCTAAGTCTCCTGAAGTTAATTTTCACTTAGTATCACTGTTTTGTTGATATTACTGCCTTCTTTTAGAGGACCAATTTGTGGAAATAGCCACTAAGGTTTCTAATAACCTTTATTTAGGGGAAAGGTCACACAAATAAGAACATTGAGCCCTGCAAGGATGTCCCCAGGGGACTTTCTAGGCTGACTTGAAAATGAAGGACTATTCAACCCAGCAAGTGGGTTGAATGTGATGGTCCCTCTTCACTGGAAGATCCATTTGCCTGGAATTATGTTGGGAACCCGATGGAAGGGGCATCTAGGAGACAGTTAATGTGATTTTAAAGAGCCTGGAGTTTGAAGTTAGGTAGAACCTGTGTTAGACTCCTACTTCTCATTTGCTATTGAGTCCATAGGCTAGGAAAATGAGAGTCTGTATCTAAAATGTTGAAAAAATAATTGCTTTTTGTTTTAACTGCCTACCCTTCATTGACTGTGTGTGTTTGTAGGAATGTTGTGGAGGGGGGTATATTTCCTGCTGCTAGGTTTAAGGACTAAAGAAAGACAAACCCAGTTCTTACAACTTTGTTTTGTGGCCAAGTTTTTCTTCTCCAAAACTTTTCTTTCATCTTATACTTATTCTCATATCTTCCTTCCTCTCCCCCTCTCCCCGTTTTTTCTCTCCCCCCATCTCGTTTAGTTTCTTCTCTTTTCTCTCTTTTTTCCACAACCCAAAGTTGCAAGAAAGGGTAACGGGAATCATAGGTTTTTTGTTTGTTTGTTTTTTGCTTTTTAATCCCTAACTTCCACTCCTGACCTTTTATCTTTCTTACCTAGAATTGTGCCACCTGGGTATAAATTCATCTATTTTATATGGTTTTGATAGCTCTATATTTTCATGTTGATGATAATTTAGATAGAATGTGAAAGTACAAAGTGCTAACACTGTGAACTCAAGGCTGATGAAATAAATTCATATGTTGGCTCATTTAATGTATAAACTTAAAGAGATTGGTTCACTTGGGGATGGACGGTGTGGATTATGAATGAAATAAACATTTGCATCTTGACATTTACTTTGTTTGTGCCTAAGTGACTCACTCCAGGAAACACACTGGGGGTCACATTCTTCCTGTGTCATGCATAAACAAACTTTCCTTTCCTTGCTTGGTACTACCGCTAAATCATACTCCGTTTGGAAGAGAACAGACTTTCCTTGGCTTTACATGCTATGGTTTTGTGTTCCATGTCTTATTATTTTTTCACTCAAAATAGTCCAGACGGCAGTTCTCAAGTGGCTTTTATTTAATGTTTGAAGTTTTTGTTTAGCCACTCACAGAAATACCTTTCACTGTGGATCAGTTTTTTACTGTGAAATTTTAAATCTGCAGATGATTTCATTAAATAGTATGTAATCCATTAAAAAAATGCACTTAGCATGAGCAAGTCACTTGTCCCTTAAGCGCAAATATTAATGAGAAGAAAATGAACACGGAATCCTAAGCTTAGGAAGAAAGACTTCAGGAGATCCTTTGCTCCGCCCCCTGCCTTTGCCTCTCTTGCCTTTGAGCTGTTCACAGATCTCTGCGGGCAGTCTGCTCCAGAAGGCTTTGCTGGATGGGAGAAGACTAGACACTCAGTCAAGGAGGTGAACAGGAACCGTCCCCCTCCCCCATGTCCACCTCTCCCTTTAACTCACTAATCTCAGATTCCTCCCTCTATCCATTTTCTAGTATTTGAGGGATATGAATATAGGGGAAATATGGCAAAGAAAGAAATGAAGGAGGAGAGAAACAACACTAGTGCCTACCCTGCTCCATTAGTGCAGAGAATGCAAAATAATTTTATTTTCGATAAGATTTATTTTTTACTTCAGCTTTCCTTTTTTTTACTCTTTCTGCAGCGCTCTCTCTCTCTCTCTCTCTCTCTCTCTCTCTATATATATATATATATATATATATATATATATATAATTTCTTTATTGATTAAGATGTTACATATGTGTTCTTATTCCCCCCATATCCCTCTTATCCCCCTCACTCATGCCCTCATCCCCCTGTTGTCTGTGTCCATTGGTTAGGCTTATATGTATGCATACAAGTCCTTTGGTTTATCTCTTTCCCCCCACCCCCAATTCTCTTCCCTCTGAGGTTTGATGGCCTGATTGATGTTTCTCTGTCTCTGGATCTATTTTTGTTCATCAGTTTATGTCGTTCATTATATTCCACAAATGAGTGAGATGATGTGATATTTATCTTTCTCTGACTGGCTTATTTCACTTACTTCTGCAGGTCTTTTTAGTAGCCTAACCTATTTTGATTACGGCACATTTTGTATGGTTCATTATCTTTTAAATAAAGAAAACTTTATTTCAGGAAATAACAGTGGCACGTGTCATTGGCATGTGTCTTATCAGGCCCTGTTGCAGGCATTTGCGTACATTATCTCTAAACTCCACAGCAGCCCTGCCACGGTCGGTAGAGGTGATACTGCATTGCCTGGAGTTGCCATTTGAGGCCCAGGAAGCATTGTGTCCCAAGGTCGCAGAGTATTGCTGGGGAGAACCTAGGTCTCTGTGGTTCCAGAAATTGTGCTATTTCAACTCTGGTTTCACTTTACAGTGTCAGGTTTCAGCGAATAGGGTTTTGGTACGTTGGTGACTGCAGCATTCATACCGCTGATGAGTTTGCCAAGTGATTAGTCCATACAACTGATCACAGCTTCTCCTCCTCATCTCCTAATTCTCTCCAGAATTCACATGAGTAAGAATGAGCTCATAACCAGAATACATGATCATGCAATTAAGGCGGCGAGCAGACGATGCATTGTGTAAACTGGGACACTTTTGAGAGTGAAATGGAGTGCTGTTCATGAACTTGGCTGGAATATCAGGAGTGTCCCAGGAAGATCAGCTTGTAGTCGCCCAAACCCACAATAAGAAAATTCAACTAGCGATCGTTGGAGAGGAAGCAATCCTTTGTAATATAAATAAGGAATAACTGGAATAAAATATAAAAGTCTTATGATTCTTCCATTTAACATAATCAGCCTTTACCGACAAATAATTGGGACTATGTCTAATGCAAAATATGCAGTATACCGACAACTAGGATAATGTGAAATAAATTAGTACGCATTGAATTGGTATCTTAGAAATGAGTAGGACCACTAAATGCCTAAAATGGCTCTGGTTATCACATTTAATAGTTTAGGATTGTAAGAATCAAAACTAAGCACCTAACAAAGAATTATTTCTTCCCTTACAGCTTATCATGGATATAACCAAATGATGGAATGTCTCCAAGGCTATAAGAGGGTTAATAACACCTTTTGTCAAGGTAAGGTTAACAGAATTCATTGGGATGGACGCACGGTTGTTTTGGCTTTTAGAAACCTGAGTTGTTTGGCCACGCTTTGCTCATTAGCCTAGCAGGTGAGGTCATACGGTGACCCACTTCTTGCTCACTCCATGTAGCTATGCGGAAATACAGGGGTGTAGTGTACGGTCGCTAGAATGGATTCGCTACCATGTAAACTTTATGGAACTTTCTTTCCTTCTATTAATTTGTAATGAAATCCACAGGAGATTGGATTACATTATGGATTGCTTAGGGATCTCCATGCTAGTCACCTTCCATCCATGCATGGGTGCATGTGTGTGTACACATGAGCATATGCATGTGTACACATGACCACATGTATGTACCTAGCAGTACTACTTCTTTGTTGACACATGATTGGGCAGCAGGGTTCCCTTTTTGCTCATAGAGTGTTGCTGGCCACCTTGATGTGTCCAGGTGTTAAACATCAAAGTGAACACACATGAGCCAGGTGGTAGGTAAAACTAGGTAGTTACATGTGACAGGTCCTGAGTGCTTTTGCTCAGTTTATTTTGAACCCACAGCAGAGTGGTACAAGCAGGGGAAGCCTCAGAGGTCAGTTAGCCCAGCGCCAACACTTTGCAAACGAAGGACATTGAAGCTCAGGCTGGTTAAGCGGCTTTCCTGTGGCTAACTACATAGAGCTGAGGTTGTAACTCAGGGGTTCCAATATCACGTTTAGTACCCATTTAGGATATCACATTCTGTGTGTTATTTTGTGGGATGTACACTTAATGCTCCTAATTAATATCCCCTTACGTGTCCAGGGTGAAAAAGTTGCTATTAATTACTGGACTATGCGTCCGTTGAAATAAACAGGAACAGCTTCCAAGAGACTTATTGAACCAAAATCCATGTCAAAAACATAGCATATGTCTCTGACTTGTGGTCCAGAGCTCTGTTTATAAGACAGTAGATTAAGGTAATGTTATAAATTATAGAAATGGTTCATGTCAGAGTAATACCTTAATTGAGAATTTTCTTGAGTAAATTATTCCATACTGCATCTGTGTAGCTTTTATGAGTTGTAGAGCTTTCACTGATTTAATTTTTTTTAAATGCACATACTATGTTTTTTGAAAATTTCACCTTAAAATATTATAAGCCCTGGTCATATATGAGGAATTTTGGGAAAGTTAGAATTACTGATCCAGGAGAGGATATCCAAGGCACTTTTTGAAGAATGTCTGCAAACCTCAGTGACAGAAGAATAGTGGATTAATCAACATTATGTGTAAGTCAGCAGAATTTAAAATATCTTTGAAAGATTGCATTAAATGGATGAAAGATGGAATTAAGTGGAAGGACGAATGAGTAGGTTAAATCAATGAATAGATTACTAAATGCATATACTATAGTGTAAACCAAGTTATAATTTCACAGATTTGGATAAAAATCTCTATTAAAAGCCCAACTCTATTTTAGGATGCATTAGTAATAGCAGAATGAACAGGGCATTAGAAGTAATGACCTTTACTCTGTCAGTCAGACTGAATTTGAGGTTTGGGTATTCATGTATTCATGTTCATTATTTTTTGGCTAATAAGGTCAACCAAGCTTGTGAAGGGCCTCAAAAGCTGAGAGTGTTTAGTGTGGAGAAGCACAGACCAAAGACAAATATAACGGCTGATTTATAAACATGCCTTAAATCTTTGTACATGCGCCTTTAAATGTTTGATTAACTGTCTTACAAACAAGATTTTCATGAGTTGCATCAAAAGCCAAAGTCAACAGAATGGAGCGACAAGGAGGCATATTTAGAACTGCAAGTCATCGCTGCTAAGGAATAGCATTCCCCAGCATTGTACTGAAATGCCTTTGGAAGTACTGAGCTTCCTACACATAGACGTGACCCAACAGATCCTTAACCATCGGCCAGGATGCTTTAGGGAATTTCTATCCTGTGCAGCACCTGAGGTTAGATTGCTCTTGGGGACACTCCAGTTCTCTGATGCTCTCATTACTCTGTCTCCTGGGGCAGACATTGTGCATGAGAAGAAAGAAGCGACATCTTGGTGTGTCACACAAGTTTTAGCCCCTCGACATGTCATTTCCTGAAGTCTCCTCTGTGAGTAGGCCTGTCTTCTAATGGCTGATTATTAGGAAGGCTCAGGAGTGACAGATGCTCCTAACTTCTCAGAGTGTTAAATGTGGAAAAACAGGAATGATTTGGGGGTGGGATAGGATTTAGACATTATTAATCCCAATTAGAAACTGAAGCATAGAGAGAGTAACTTTCTTAAGGTCACACAATGAAAAGAGGCCCAGCCAGGATTAAACTTCCAATTGTTTCTGTGTGCAATATGGCCCCCTTTACCATGTATACATATATACCTGTAAAATATGATGTGAATACTCACTATTTGAAACAGAAGATATGCCACATGTGCTGAACGTAATAGAAGTCAAAGCAGTTCACATTTATAAGGTTTTGTTTAATAACAGAGGATGATCATCTGATATTCCTTCTACTCGCTGGTTCAAGGTTATAAGAGTTCGTGGTTATCAAAATACTGTCGAAGTGGAAGTGAAAATTTGCAAGTAGCATTTGCTACCTCATTTCACACATCAGAATGGAGAATCTTTTCCACAGAACTTGCTTGAGGGCTCTTCCCCCTCTCCTGGTGTGGCTGGTATGCAGGGGCCCTTAGCAAGTTTTGTTCACAATGAGCATATCAGTCATTTGCACTGATGGTCAGTAACACCAAATCCTAGCTTATGTTTGTCTCAGGAGGATATTTGCAAGAACAGTGTTATGCTTTTTGGCACAGATTCTAGACTTAAGTATCACAGAAAACTCTATTTCACAGTGCCTCAAGAAGCCACCGCTAAATTACACTAGAAGATTGATTCCTAAAATATTATGATTTCATTCCCCATAATCTGTTAAAATTGTTTCTAAAAGAAGGGCTTACTTTCACTCCCTGTGTGATATGATTGGTCAGTGAAATGAAACAAAACTTTCTCACGTTACACCCATGCCCTCCGATTTCCTCAAGCCTGGAAGCTTTTTGGTTCCGTTATCCTGCAGTTTTCAAAAGAAGCCCATTCAGCATCTAATTACGTCTGCATTCCACATTGTTCCTGCAGCCTCACGTCTTCTCGACTTACCAAGCACATTGAAAATTAAAGTGATTAATACCCAGAATGACATTATTTGCTCCAATGATACAACTTTCACTAATATGTGCCCAGTAACAAAGAGCCAACTGTGCCCGAGTTAATTTGAGGAGCTCTCAAATAATTGCCCTCCGAGTCTGGTGTTTTTTTTCCCCCCCTTTTTTCCCCCTTCTCTCTAGTGGTACTGCAATTATCTTTTCAGAGGAATGATTTATTACATATACACACATGGAGCTCTCGAACCTGCCCTCGACATTTTGGAGTTGTTATCATTTGCTTTGTTTCTCATAACAAACAATGCAGTTCTATTTCCTTGTGGATCGAGAGAGCATTTGTCATTTCGTGACTATGCTACAGGTCTGATATTGAATGAGAATTAAGTGAAATTTCATATCACGGCAGTGATGACAACAGGAACCTCATACGCTCTATACTGCTTTACTTGAAAGATTAAGTTTCTCCCCGAATTCTGAATACTCTCTCTTATCTGTAACTTTGGTGTGAGATGAGTTATTAAATTAGGTGTAAACCTAAGTTTTAAAAGCAGAATTTATTTCTGAAAGTACTCGGGGCTTGATCTATTTAGTAAAATCTTTTATTAAAAGCAATTATCTCTTTTTTTTATTTACTAAAATCACTTACATGATGCAGGAGTGTTTAGGTATAAAATCAGCGTAGTATTATTTTCTACATTTTTGCATGTTTCCAGGTACTGTGGGCAATGCCAAAATAAACAACTAGATGGCGTCTACACTTTTATAGTCCATTGTATGTATATTCCATTTTCATAGGTAATCTTGAGAACTTTTAAAAAGACTCAGTATCACACCAACATTAATTGGCACGGGGCTCCTGAGCTGCAGACCAAGGATATGCAATGACTGATGAATAAGACATCGTTCCTGACCTCGGATTTAGTATAATTAAATCACTTTGAATCAGCAGCATGTAATTTACTCTATTCACTGTCCCAACTAGCTGGGTTTTAGCTGGCTCCCGGGGAGCCGTGAAAGCAAATATGAGAGAGCTGTCCACGCAGCTTTCTTTTGGCGTCACTTTATTGCACTGGTTATTATGCGCCAATTTACTAACACATTTACAAGACAGATACAGTAGGCACAATAATACTCATTATCACAACTTTTACTGTAGGGCTCCTTTCAAGTGCATCTGAAATTGAATTTTATTGGGCCTATAGGAAAGACAACGCACGTTGTTTTCAAGGGCATATCTCTGGGCCATGAAATGAGACTCGCCAGTCTTGATTAACATTCCATATAAATAAGCCATTCATGGGACATTTTGGTTATGAGGAGCTTACCTGGGTTTTAGCTTGCATTTCAGACTTCTTAATGATTCCCTGAAAAATTGATTATGACTGCAGAAGGGTGAGCATATGAAGGCTGGTCTTCGTGTGTCTTGAAAAGACTAGAAAGTGCAGGTGAGTTGCTCAAGAAAACCTACTTGGCTGGAGAAGAGAAGGTGGCCTATGGCAGTGGATGGCAAACTGTGGTTCACCAATGGTCGGCAAACTCATTAGTCAACAGAGTGGCAAACTGCGGCTCGCGAGCTGCATGTGGCTAGTGAGCCAAGTTTGCCGTCCACTGGCTATAGCATGTGCTGGGTTACCACAGACAGGCATGGTAAGATGAAGTGCTTTGTAACTTTAAGGAAAGGCTCCTATGATTGATTGTATGCACCATGTACAACAGATAGAACAGGCTTTGTGATGCATGCTGGGAAAACAGTGGCACTTCTTTTAACATGGAAATGTTCAAAGACCATTTATGACAACTGGCATATTTAAAAGAAAATGGATTTGTGCCTTAGATAAGAGT